CCAAGTCTTCTCTGTATCATCTTTGGGACTGTTCCCCCTAAGGCTAGGAGCAAGGGGTCTGTGGCTGTTCCATGTATCAATCCAGACAGTAGAATTTTCAGAAGAGGAAGAGGGACCATCTCTTTTAATAGTTTTCTAGGAGAAAGGAAACCTTTCCCAGAAACCCCCCCCTAAAGAGTTCCTCTCATGTTTCATTGATTACAGTTGAGTAATACACTATCCAATTCTCTGGCAAGAATGGAATGTAGATGAGCCATCCCCAACTGGCAGATGGGAATGGGGACAGCTTTCTCTGAGGTACATGGAAGTCACTGGTAATGCTGGGGTTCTGTTAACTTGGAAGTGTGGGCGATGCACGCTTTGTGAACAGCTAGCAGTGTGCACTGCACATGGGTCGCAGCCTTCAGTTTGACTGCAGTCTGGAGGACGTTGGACATGTCGTAAGTAGGTACAGAGAGGATGGTGAGCCAGTGTTGAAGACCAAGTGGGTGACTTGGCTCAAAGACAGTAAGGCCAAGCATCTGAAAGGAACCATCCTCCTTGAGGGATGATCTCAGTGCAGGACTGGCTACTTCAAATCTAGCTTCTACCTACACTTCCTATTTTCTGCTTTTCTAGAGAAGAGGAACTATTGGAATGCTCGTGCAGTAGAATATGCCTACTCAGTGTCCAGAGGCTAAAGCATCTGGTTTCTTGATCATCTTTCTAGTAAGAGATGTGTTCAGCGTACAAATCTGAAGAATGCTGGATCTCACTTAAAATTACTTCCTGGTATAGAAAGCATAATCTTGTCTCTTCCAGAATTAGTTTACAGTGGACAAAGTACAGCCTTAAAAAGGTAACGTAGGGCAAGTGTGAAGGTGTATACGGCCAGAGAACAAACTCATGCCCCCTGCTGTCACCATGTGGGGAACTGAGATTTCTGCTGCCTGATCCTGGCTGTCCATGTCTTCCTGGCTGTCATGGTCAGGACAACGTGCAGAGTCTGAGGTGATAAACACCACACATGTAGGAGAAGGGCTATGGAGCTATGTGACATCTCAAAGCTGCATGTCACAAAGGCATCACCAGTGGGGTTTTGGTGTGTGTTTGATGTTTCACAGCATGGTTTTAAGAACAATGGAAGAATGGCTCCCTGGTGTGTGCTCTTTAATCATTTTTTTCTTATTAATAAGATTTTGCTTTAAACTTTAGATATCTAATCATGTACAAAGATGCTTTATGAGCATGTCTAAACCAATACAATTGTGTGCATATGGATTTTCCTTATAACTTTCTAATCAGCTCGCTTTCTGCTGACATTTGATTTCATTTGAATCTTCCTTGTGAATCACCATAATGGAGCCTATACCCTTAGTGCACTGATTGTTTATTTACAACATTTGCAGTGTTGATTATAATTACGTTATTAACAAGTTAATGAATTACCTATTTCAATTAGAAGACCTTGGAGATTTAAAGATCAATGCATATCGAGCTCAAGTTACAGATCCTCAATTTACTTTACATTTTTAAAATGAAAACATACAATGACTGACACTGTCTTACACATTTTCTACCCCAGGCTTGAGCAAATAAATCTTTCCTTGGGCATACATACATTTACAGGGTAATTGACAAAAGGCGTAAATGGAAGTTAGGTTATTGTCTCCTGTTCTAAGCAACTCCCCCCTCACCCCGCAAGGGATAGTATTTCTAGCTAATCGATTTTAAATTTCTGACTAAGTATCCAATTTTAAAGAACATTAAGGAAATTCTAAAACAGGGAAATAAAATGAGAGGAATGAACTATATTTGGAATTAGAAGAGAATATCTTGAGTTTGATCAATGCAAAATTAATAATAATGATTTACCTTTTAGGCAAGTGACCCAGCAGAGAGATTCAGAGGAAATGCAAATCTAGAAATAGTTGTAGCACAGCTTGAAATGCTTGGTGGCTATAATCCAGTCTCTACACTTGGGGACCAGATGCTCACTAAAGGCTGCTGGCTCAGTGAACAGCCATGTACTGCTTGAGCAGAGGGCATGGAACTGGAGAAGGTAGGACAGGAGTTTGGCTGATGCCCTTTAGGTTGGGACCCATCCTCCTTAGAGTTTCCTAATGCCTTATCTTCAAATTTGAGCCCAAACTAAGTACTTTTCCTATTTCAAAATAAAGCAGTTCTAAAGCCTATGACACAAACACAGTTCTGTGAGTCCTGCCTGTCGTGAGAAGCACCCACGAAACGCTACAGGTGTGGAGCTGAGAGCAAGCCCTGGGAAGCATTCTTGCCCTTGGCTGGTGTTTATTTGCCACTTTCCTTCCCTGGCAGGAGAGCCAACCACACAGCTGTTCCTGCTGCCACGGGGCAGGCCATGGCATACAGGAAAACAGGAAGTGGGTCGTGAGCAAATGGGCCTTTTCATAAAATGGAAGGAAATCGTTGACTGTGGGAGCAGAGTCTGTCCTTACTCAAAAGTACATTAGAAAAAAATGAAACTGAACTTTTAACCTGTTATTATTGTACCTTGAAAACCATTAAATCAACCCAACATAGACTAAAGATTGGATGCTGCTTAGAAACGAATCAGTGAGAAGCACAGTAGATCTATATAGAGCTTTTTACAAAATCCTTAAGAGCCTATTTCTTTTTGCCAGTTACTTCTTAGTCCTTTATTTACAAGGTACAATGTCCCTAACTTGAGAGGGAATTAAAGAACTTAGTAACAACTTAGTGGAACAGAACTGTACTATGCCAGCTCATAAAAGCAGATTGGTAAAATTTCAGAAATTTTGCAAACCAATGGCTGAACAGACCCACTATTAAAAAGCAAATTATACAAACATAGAATTAAATAAATAATATTAAAAACAGAGGTAAGAAAATACCAAAAACTCATCACTTCCTAATTATTTTACTGTTACTGTTTTGATGTACTTGAGATTATGTACACATACCCGATCTGTAGGATCCAATGCTATAGAATAGTGAAAATATATCAGAGTGTGCTACTGCACGTCTCTTCCCAGCACCGCCTTCAGTGGCTGATAATCAATACCAGGAAATCAACCATAGAGAAACTATTTATAGCATGGGAATTAGCAAACATTACAAATGAGGTATTGATTGCTCTTGTTAATTGTCTAGATATAACACAGTGATTGGGAAATGTAATAAAGTAGATTACATAGAAAACTATATAATATCTGTAGCCAATACATTGTGAATAGCAGAAAAAATTGAATTGTACCTCCGTTTTCCAAAAAGCATTATCGATTCAGCAAAGTCATTCATGGGACTGACAAATGAGTAAAAGTCCAACATACATCTTTCTGGTTTTATCGTCATCTTTCTGTCTGATGCCATCAATCTGCATTCATGTTGAAGTTATATTTGCTTGTTAATAGTAATAATTGACTGGCTACAGATTAAAGAACCTGGCAAAACTTAATGAAGGCATCAGTTGGTAATACAGAATTTACAAAAAATAGGATTATGCATTTTATTATTACTTAACAATTTTGTGCTACTTATCCTTTATATAAATAAAACTGATTATACCTGTTTACACCTTTTTCCTCCAAATAGCTGGTTACTAACCATTTACAACATACCACTGCCAAATAGTAACAAATATGAATAGAAATGCTGAAAAGATGTAAAGTTACTTAGTTAAGAAACCTGAAGATAGATTTCTTTGATTTTCATGAGTTAGTGCTCAAGCCCTAAGCTGACGCAAATAATCACAGCTGTATTTGTCTCCTGGAGTTTAACTTGTAGCATGAAGTCAGGTTAGTCATAAAAACCATGTTTAAGAACTTCATCTTGTGTTTCTATAAATTTAAGTCCTTCCCAGAAATAAGGCATAAACATCTTGATTTTTCAAGAATGGTCTGAAATTTTTATTAAATACCATTACCTGATTTTACCAGTTAAGAAGTAAATAGAGATTATGGACCAGGCATTCCCTTATGACAATAGTCTTCTAAACTGGTTGTCTTAGGAGTTTTTGTATGATGAGGGGCACTCAGACACAGCCCTTCTTTATTTTAATCCCTCTCCCACAAGACCTTCAGAGACTTAAAGCTACTCTCATGTAATAGCCCTTTGCACCACGGGTCAGTCTCCCACTGGAGCAAACAGCAGCACTCAAGGGGGGTTTGGTCCACAGGCACTTGCAGTTGGTGGTCATCACCAACTCACCAAATCAACCAGTATTCTCTAAGTTTATGCTTGGACCTGCCCAGTATCACCATTATCAAAGTGGTATCTGAAATTGAGGGCATCACAGAGCCATATCATCTATTTTCCTCTGGAGTTCTACAGGTAACTTTGACTTTTTTTTCAAGATGTTAGAAGTAAATGACTTTCGCATACCAGCTGCTTCATGTCTCTGCTTGTAAGGACCTTAAGGTTTCATATCAAATCCAAATACTTTTTTTTTATGAGACGGAGTTTCACTGTTGTTACCCAGGCTGGAGTGCAATGGCATGATCTCGGCTCACTGCAACCTCCGCCTCCTGGGTTCAGGCAATTCTCCTGCCTCAGCCTCCTGAGTAGCTGGGACTACAGGCACGCACCACCATGCCCAACTAATTTTTTGTATTTTTAGTAGTGACGGGGTTTCACCATGTTAACCAGGATGGTGTCAATCTCTTGACCTTGTGATCCACCCGCCTCGGCCTCCCAAAGTGCTGGGATTACAGGCGTGAGCCACCGTGCCCGGCCCAAATACTTTTGTGTGACAACATGAAAGACTAACCATGAGGAAAGTGATGCTTATGATACAGTTCTTACAGGAGACAGAATCGTATCTGTTCAATCCACAGGCCCTTTCCACAACTGGCATACAAAAACACTAAATGGAAAGGCAGAACACAATAACAATACACTTTGGCCCATGGAACGGTTGCTATTGCAGTGTTAAATCTCCAGGGGCTGGAGAATGAATGATAATGGCAGGTATTTATTTCACCACGAGTGTGCGTTCACATTTTGCCATTTATTTCCCCCCGCAGTTTATTGCTGTGCGTCATTCCCCACTCAGGCCAAGCGCTTCTGAAGGACTGGCTTCTTCCTGACCTCGGACCTTTCCTGGTGTCTCTTCTGCCCTGGCTCTGATTTTCCTGTTGTTCTTCCTCCTTTCAGGATAAAAGGGCTCATTGTACACCCATGATTTACTTCCGTTGATATTTACATATAAATGCATAAATAACGGATTTGTTTGACTGAGGTTTATATTTTTTTGAAGAGGTAAAGACTTTCATATGCAAATTCTAGGTTGATAATATTCACTTGCCTGAAATTCACTGATACTTGGAACTGTTCTTATGAAGAACTCTGCTTTATTTTAATTCATTGTTCTTATTTTTCTTATTGGATATGCTATTCCAGAATTTATTACTCATTTTTCTTAAAACTAGATTGCGTCCACAAATTGACCAGTATAGTCAATTTGGACAGAATTGAAACATTCTGTCTACCTGGTAAAACTAAGTGCCGAAAAACATGAACTATAAATGTAGTTAGTAGGAACTCACACCTTGTATGTACTATCCATTCAGTGATATGTAGGACCCAACGTTTTTGTGTTTTTGAAGTTTTCCCATTACTGTGTACTTCACCATTTTACATGGTCTACTAAAAAGAAAAAAGGGGGAAGAAGGGTGTTCTATTCATTATTCTGTTATTATTCTCTTCATTATTCTACTCTGTTCATTATTCACTCATTTTCCTCCCATTTATTCTCTAGACACAATACTTACTTGGCGCTAGATATGATACCAGTTTTGTGGGCTGTAAGAGTGAGTAACAAGCACATGACCTCTGGTCTTGGATTTTACTACCTGTGGCTCCCCAGGCACATGAAAAGAAGTAAAGATGGTTCCATTTTATAATTACTAGTCTTGAGGGTGTACACGTGATCAAGATGCCAGAGGGTGTGACTGCCAGGTCTGTGCAAGGTGCTGCCAGCGTCTGAGTGTGAGGTCCCTCTGCGGTCGCGCAAACTCACGCAGTTATGAAGAGCTAGTCACCTCAACCGCATTGTCCCAAGACAGGCAGTAAAAATAGTCATATGTTAAAATTCAGGGTTTAGATAAAAAGACAACTAGCACTTGCTTGCTTTGATGAAATTTTATTATGCAGATGCATTTGAACTGGAGAAGCTTGTCATGTTTCTCTCTAAAAGATGTTTTTAAATGTTATCACTCAAAGTGGAAAAAAAAAAGAATCAGTAAGTATTTCTGACATATAGGACTGTTGTCTGGCTGATCACAATGAAAATGTTAGCTATGACTAATGAAGGAATTACCACAGCTTACATTAGTATTAATAATAAAGAAATATAAGCCAAAGCTATATGTAACCAATGTCAAAAGTTACAGAAATTACTCGCAATGAAGTATAGAACAAGTTAGAAAGGGCCTTTTTTTTTTTTTTTGCATTGAAATAAAGGACTTTTGTCTGATAAGTAGCAGTCATTTTGATCTCAAATCATTAAGTGGGAAAAGTCTAAACAAGAAAAGATAATGTTACCTGAATGCTGGGGAAAGCATCAGGATTTATGGCCCAGACTTAAAGATTGTAGAAGATTGTATATAATTAGAGTAATAAGCATTTGTGTAAGAAGTAGCGCTATTATGCTGAAGAAAGATGGCCACAGAAAATCTCTAAGCAAATCCTTAGAGAGGGAAAAATGATACTGCTCATAGAATTATTGGTTCAAGAGGCAGAAAATATGATGCAATAAGTAAATCAAATCCATTAAAAATAGAGGACAGAGGAATATGGTGGGGGAAACAAATGCAATAAGGCTAAGTCAGTTTACATGGTGAACAGAATTTGAACATGGCTCCTCCAATGTATGTGATCATAAAGTTATCCAAAGACATGAGTGGTCGATCTTTGACAATATCCTAGGGATCTCCATGACAGGTAGCCTAATAAAGGCTAAATTTGGATAAAATCAAGAGCTATTTGATGAACAAGTTTTGCAGATTTACACGCGACTTGGCACTGTGCTGGCATTAGAGCCTTCTAAGAATCAGACAAATTTATTAGGTGAAACATTTTTTCCCAAAGCACTTGCATTTGAGAAAGTTTCTCATTTCTGACTCAGCTCAGATCCCATTCCTTGTTGTGGGTCATTTCTTCTCCTTATAAGCCGTGTCTGTTTCTTTTTTCCATCATGTCATACATGCTATGCACAAAAGATGATAGCTCACGTTTTCTAACTAGAGACATGCAGGCAAATTGATAGCATGAAGAATCCCTTGGGAATATCAATCCCATAGCAAATGCTAAGGTAAAAGAAAAAACTATGCATTATTTTTCAACTATAGTTGGCTTAAATTCTCAGTTTCACTCTAGAGACCGTGTTGCCAGTGGACAATCGAGCATGCTGTAATTTCTAAACTGCAAGCTAGTTTACATGATAATGTTTGCCATCTCACTTCACTAGTACTTTTGACCTTTTCCTATGATTCTAAAATTACTTTCTTGTAAATAAATACTCCTAGTTCTATAGATGAAACAATTTGGAAAAATCTTAAAACTGTTCACTCACTGACATTTTATTTTAGCACCCATTATAATCCATCACACATCGCATCTGTGTTTGTGATGCTTATCAACTGCTAATTTTCACAGTTTTCATGCTAATTTGGATCCATAATATGATAGTTTGTTCACAACTTCCACAGCTCATGTAATATGATTCAAAACGTTTTCACGTGCAGACTAACATTTCCTATAACAAAACAAACTTTTCTACCGTAGGGGTAAGAGTATATCTTCCAAAAATTACAAGAGAAAGTGAGGGTCTTTCAAACAAGTATTCAAAATAGCTTGAATCATCATAACCAGTTACAGATTATCCAGACCAAGGAATTAATCTATGTACAGAGCACTTGCTTCCTCTGGCTTCTCTGAATTTGTGTGGGGTGTGTGTGTGTGTGTGTGTGTGTGTGTGAACTGTTTCATCCTTCATACCCAAGGAATGTGGAGCAGGAGAAAAACCCAAAATAGCTTTTGCACCTTATTAGTCACCATGGTAAAATGACAACAAGCAAACTTCAAACACTTCAGTGAAGACAGAGGTTCAAGTATTAAAAAAAAATGAAGCTCAGGAGTTGTCTGTATATTTTTGGTTTCTATGCTTTATTTGTCACTGATAGCAACGCATAATTGGTAACCCTTTGGCCGAATTACTCCCCTCACTGAAAGTTTTGTGATTTGAATTTACAGTTACTTCTGTGTTTATTTTATTCTTAAATGCTTCATATTCTAACCCTTCTTTTTCCTTCTTAGTAAGAAAATAACAAATTTGTATTACTACGAATGAAGCTACATAAAAGAAGGCTTTATCTGAGTATATTTTTCAGTAAAGGAAAAAAAGAAGAAAACCCCCAAGAGATTAGATCTATTGAGATTATTTAGACTGGACACTGTTTCCTGGTTGATAAATCTGCTACAGGGCTTCAGGGCGGGAAGTGAGGAGAAAAAATAAGCAAAACATAAAACCTTAACGCAAACAGAATAGCCAATATATATCATGTTTCTTTGGCACTTAAGGGACAAGAGTTAAAGAGCAGATGCATCCTTTCCTTGTATGTTTTGTGTGAATAAGAAGTGGTCAGGAGGAGTATAAAGACATTCTGAATCGCACAAGTCATCAACCACAGGATGGAAATGGATGGCCGATTGCCACATCTAGCCCACACATGCATCCTCTCTCTGCCAGGTGAAGTTGCCAGTATTAAAAGTCAAATTTGGCTTGAAATTCTGGTTCTTCCTGGAATGTGTAAAGAGCCTTCCCAAAGGGCTCACATCCTTCAAGTAAGTCGTGCGCACAGCTTGGCAGCAGGTGCTCCCTGAGCACAGGCCAGCACTTGCCATACACCACGGACCCCATCAGTCCCACAGCTGACACTCAGGCTAAGAATCCAGTATTTTCAGGCTCATGTTTTTGCAACAAGAAATGTATAGGGAAAGTGATTACGTCCTATAATCAGGAGCCTGAGAGGACCAGAGAGGCAGATGCAGCACAAGCTTACAGCGCCGCAATTCCAACAAGAGAAGTGTAGGTAGTGGTGGAACCTCTGGTCTGTTTCTGCCTCATTCCTGCAGCCTTCACTTGGCCCTTCTCTCTCAATCATTTCTCCCTCCCACCTGGTCTCTCATATGGGCAAACCCCGAATCTGTACCCACAGCGGTGTGTTGGCAGAGCTGGGCAGGGAGTGCCCTGGAAGGCAGATTTCCTTTTATATCTGCTGACTCTGTTCTGCCCCTTTACATTGCTGTTGTCATATTAGCGAGGACTGGGTGCAGTCAGGCCGAGGGTGACGTTTTGATCAGCTGGAACTGTCACTCACTGCACAAGTGGCCTACATTTGGAGTCTTGAGGCTCCATAGCATAAATCTTACGTGGAAGACTGAGTTACTTAAATTGAGTAAATACAAAATAATAGTAAATGGTTATGAATTGAAACGTTTAGCTTCTAGTAGTGAAATTACAAGTCTCCATTTAACATTGCAAGGTGAAGTGTAGGAAGAACATTGATGGGGATTTGTGGGTTTTGTGCTATTTTTTATATTTCACAGCTTTATAGAAGTATAACTGACACAAAAAAACCTGTATATGTACAAAGAAAGTGTATAATATGATCAGTTTTGACACATATACACCATGAAACCATCACCCACAATCAAGGTAATAAACACATCCATCACCCTCAAGTTTCCTTGCATGCCGTTGTAATTATTTTTAATCTGTGTATGTGTGTATACGTATATACATACACAAAACATGCACATAACTATACATACTACATTATGACAGTAATGTAAACCTAGTGGGCAAAGTTAGGAAAATATGGTTTTTAATAACAAATTCTAAATTAATTGAGAAGTAAAGGTCCTTCTAACTAACTGGGAAATTGTCTAAATGGAGAACATTAAGTGTTAAAATTGATGACCCTAGTGATAAAGCTGAGTATTGATCTGAGGAGAAAGAAAGCTGCTCACAGCATTTTTATAGTCATCTGAATGCATCCTTTGTGAAATGAAAATGTGGGGATGTGAGTGCATAGTATACAACCTATGGAACTATTTGTTCCCTATCCAAATTTTCAAGAGGAAACAAAAGATAATTTATTCACTTAATTTTCTCCTGCCATGAGTGTGTTCTTTAAACCATGTTTACCAAAGTAGCTGAGAGGTGGTCAACCCACCTCCTCTGTCGCTCCAGCCTGGCTTGAGAACGGCTGACCGAGATTTCCAGCTCTAGCGAGGAGCCCAGCTGCATGGCTGGGGCTGGGCAGGGGCAGGCACCAGGGAAGCTTCTGTCGTGGGCTCCACTGCAGTGGCGAGCTGCCCCCTGACCATCACTCCCTCTGCCAGGTTAGCAAGCAGCCGAAGAGGCTGCTTATTTAAGAGACAGGAGCTTCTTGGATGACTTTACCCACACATTTCAGCCACCAGGGGGAACCCTCATTATCCCATTGATGGCCAGAGTTGAAGGGAGTGGAAAGAAACATACAAAAAATTCACATTTGCTGCAATTATGCCAATATTATGTTGCAGCCAGTCACACAACAATTTAGTGACAGTAATTATAGGACCGAGTTCTGTCATTTACAAAGAGGGGAAAGTGAGTAGTCCAGTAACTTGCCAAAGATCAAGAACCTAATAAGGGTCTGTGGTCAGACGGCTGACTCCCCGTCCACTGTTAGTGTGACTAGTGGGTCTAAAAGGGATGCATGTGTTTGTGCATCCATGCATGTGCACCATGATGCACGCATATCTACACTCATACATTCATGTGCATAGACATGTGTACATTCCCACACAACACATGTACACACATAGTGTATCTTAAACATCTATCTGTACACACACACTGTGTACAAAATATGTGTGTATATATACACATGCCTACAGAGACGCCTGCACATGGTATATACATACTCATGCATGTATATATTAATGCATACAGGCACATCTATACACATTATAACTTCTGTGCAAATATACATACATAACACGTGTTCACACATACATGCATGTGTAGACACTGTGTGTGTGGTGCCTGCACGTGTGTGAAGAAATGAGGCCAAGGACAGTATGTGGCTATATTACCTTGTGGCTGCCAGTATGCCCCCCACCCTCACCCCACCCCCCATACAATATATCTCTGAACCTGGGGCTTTGGTCCCTGACAGGTTTTGCAAGGATTCTGAACTTGTCCACTTTGTCCTCCCAGAAATTATTGTCAGGCTTCTTCTTTGGTGCCTAATTTATGACTGGGAAGAGATTTAAAGATTAAAGAGAATATGGTCAATTAATTGTTTAAACGGATAGTCTTCCATATTTAGATAGGGCAGAAATCAACCCTGTTAGTAAACTCGAGCCTCATCTTTCATCTCTGCCCTTGCACTTAGGTTTGCCTCCATCTGGCTGTTTGTTAGCCAGGAGGCACCTTGCCACGAAGGAGGCTGCCTCTGCTTGGGTGCAGGCTGCACATTGGGACTACAGGGCAGCTCAGCCATGGAGGGGCAGAGGTCTTCGTCTTTGTGGGTTCGCTGCCAGTGACACGGGAGCAGGAAGTGATGATGGCTGAGTCAGCACCCCCTTCCCATGCACTTTTCCTGGAGCAACCTTTAATCTCTACCATAGCCCTGTGAGGCCACTGCTATTGTTATCATACTCACTTTACAAATAAGAAAACGGCAGCACAGAGACGATAAGGAACTTGTCTGCAACCAAAAGCAAGTTAATATTTAAGCCAGCACTTGAACCTTGCCAGTCTGGTCCCCAGCACCTGCTTAACTTCCACTATCCCTCCTCCCTACTCTGTGTTCTGTTATTCTATGGGGAGGGCTGCAAGGCTCTAACCCCGCTCGGATCTCCTGAGGAAGCCATTCCCTGTGTCCGCAGTTGAAGGAGAAAGTGGAGGAGGTGGGTGTGCTGTTTGAGCTTTGTCCAATGATCTCATGTACAAGCCCACCTGAACCAACAGCAAGTATGGGGCTGCACAAAAATACCAGGAAGGAGGGGCTCAAGTCCAGAGGAAGGGAGGTCAGAGGTCCCACAGAGACTGACAGTCACCATGTGTGGGCCTCTCAAGCCACAGACACTGTACTGGACTTCAATTACTTCAGTATTTTCATCACAGCCACGCAGTGCACTGGTGTGTTAGTCTGCTAGGGCTGCCATGACATACCACAGACTGGGAGGAAGTGAATTCTCTCACTCTCCTGGAGGCTGGGAGTCCGAGATCAAGGTGTTGGCAGAGTTGGTTTTCCTGAGGCCTCTCTCCTTGCCTTGCAGATAGCCACCTTATCCCTGGGTCTTCACCCAATCTTCTCTTGTGTGTCTGTGTCCTAACTTTCCCTACTTGTGAGGACACCAGTCCTATCGGATGAGGCCTCCATCCTAATCAACATCGTTTAAAAGACCTTATCCTAATAAGGTTATCTTCAGAAGCGCTGGAGGTTCTGACTTCAACATGTGAATTTTTAGGGAACACAGTTCAGCCCCTAGCAGCTGATGTGCATTATCCTGTGTGCCGATGACGACAGAGGCTAGAAAGCTTCCATTGTACCCAATCGGATGCACAGGGGAGACCCAGAATCTAACTCCAGGGCTTCGCCCTGCTGGATGCCTGAGTCCTGCTACCTTTCTGGCCAGCTGTGCTGATTTTGCACAAGCTGGCTGCAGCGCACCCTGGCCCAACACAATATGCAAACCACCATTCCTGAGTGCACTCGGCCTCTGCCCTAACTTTGAATTCCCTCCGTGCTTCCACAGTTTATGGAGCAGCTGCAGCTCTGATAAGACTTCTGTGCTTGCTTCTGAATACCCCAGCCCCGGGCATGGCAAAGCCAAGAACCCTGTGGATGAGTGAGGGCCGCAATTCTTTACACAATCTGAAATCAAGTGTTCCTGTTTCGCTTCCCCCTCCCCATTTCCCCAGGCACTGCTCAGCCTTCACTTAGGTCTTTCAAGCATTTGTGAATGCATGTGCACACTTAGACACACATACGCAGAACGTGTCTTGTGTCTTTCCCACTTCTGAAATACTGGGGCTTGGGAGACAGTCCATAATCAGGTAACACTTGTTTTTCTCTATCCTCTGTGTGCTTGTTAGAATGCCGTGAAGGTGTTTTCTGTGAGCCGACTTCGAAATGCTTCTCCTGAAATCAGTGTTATTCACACAGTTCTCATGTGATGAATTCTGTCTGTCTGAAAGCTTGCCATATTGCCCCTGGTTTCTCCCAGCTAATGGGGAGAAAAATGAAGAAAATGAGCCTGCATATGAACCCATCACCACAGACCATGCTGCATCCTTTCCAGGCAGCAGGGCCCAGGAGACTCTGCTCAGGCCTGGCAGCCTCTGTGTTTGGCTTATGCTTATTTTGCTCAACCTGGGCAAGACTTTTAAAATAGTTTGAATAAGGCGCTGAATCAGTTTGCTTTTTTAAAATTGTGATTTTTAAAAAAATAATATAAGATGTCCCATTCCTTCCATTTTCAAATGCATAGTTCAGTAGATTTAAGTATATTCACTATGCTGTGAAACAGATCTCCAGGACCTCATCATCCTGCAAAGCTGACACTCTACTCACTGAAGAGCAACTCCCCTCTGCCCTCTCCCTATGCTTCTCTTTTTGTGACTGGCTTATTTCACTTAGCACAATTTCCTCGAAGTTCATCCATGTTGTAGCATATAACAGAAAGCCCTTCCCTTTTAAGGCTAAGTATCTTTCAAGTATATGTATAGACCACATTTTCTTCCTCTATCCATTGGCAGTGGGCATTTATGTTGTTTCCACCTTGTGGTTATTGTGAATGATGGTGCAGTGAACATGGATATGCAAATAGCTCTTTGAGACTCTGCTTTCATTTCTTGGGAATATATACCCAGAAGTGGGATTGCTGGTGAATTAGCATATCTTTGCCTGAAAAAAAAAAAAAATCCACTCAAGCTGAGTTAATGCACAAGGACATGTATGGGATCCTATACTGCACCTACAGAGGTTGGGTCAGCTCGCTTACCCCAAGTCAGCCACATGGGAGTTCCTGAACCAATCACAGTGGCCGAGGGAGTGTCACACACCTATTGGCTTAGGCCAGAATGCACTGACCAGTCATGAGGGAGGAGGACAGGATTACTATGTTTGATTGAATAATCAGGGTCCATCTTCCAGATGACCAGGTTGCTCCACAAAGGGGACAGGGCAGAAAGGGTGCTGAGGGTCCTGACTCTCTGGGGAAGTGCACGGCATGGGGCTAGAGCCAGGCTGCGTGGACTCAGGGCTTGGGTCTGTTACTGCATGATTTCAGGCAGCTTGCTTAACTTTTCTGTGCCTGAGTTTCTTTATATTGAGAGAAAAAGTGCTTTTGAGAATTACACATGCAAATGCATGTAGAACATTTAGAACCGATTCAGCGGCTACTGGGTTGGAGTCCCCAGCAAATGCATGTCAACCTGCACTCAAAAAATTCTGATTATTATGAAAATGGTCACAATTTCAAGTGCAGAAGATTGTGCATTAAAATCTTGATTTCTTATTTTTATGAAAAGTTAGAGATATGGCAACACCAGTTTTCCTGCATGAAAGGAAGTGCAGGATACGTCCTAGCTGCTGCTTGCGACACGTGTAGGCGCCAGGTTTCCTCAGGGCCCTCCTGGGGCCACACCAGGCCCTCTGCCTGCCTCCTGCTGCTGTCTGCAGACCTCTGTAGATGGATTGGTGCAGGATCCCTGATTCAGTCAACCTGGAGAAATGAAGTCACTCTGACCCTCATTTTTAAAAAGTCAGAAAAATGTAAAGATTATGTTGTTAAATAAACAACCCTCAAAGAAAATGTTTGATTTTCAACTTCATACACTCACACAAGTGATGCAGAACAATGTCTGCTTCTTTTTCTTAGGAAATTTAATAACTGTGCATATTGCCTTTGAGAGAGTGCTGAAAATGTGCCCCCTACAGCTTATAAAAATGAAGTGCCTGCCTGCAGTGCAGAGCGCCTTTCACTGTTTCCGGGGGTTTCTGGGTTGGAGTCCCGAGCAAACGCATGTCCAGGACTCAGGACCTCACTGTCGTTCTCCTGTGTGTGCCCCAGTGCTCTCCACTGGTGTCTCGGGGCCTCCTCCAGGGCAGCCGAGCCAGGACCAGCAGGCTCGCTCCTGCCACCCACTGCAGACGCAGTCCCTAATGCTGGCAGGCACGATTCCTGGGATGGCAGGCTGAGAGCTGCTTCAGATGGCACGTTGAGCCATGCCCCTGGCTGACAAGGGAAAGATCATTTTCCCCTCCAGCCCCTGCAGATCAGCAAGTGCCCACGTTTCCATGTGATGATGAAACACAAGTAAACAAGCCGTGGTGCCGTCTGGGAATGCTTCACCCAGTGTGGCTGGTCATAAACTGGTCCAATTTAGTTGAGACACTTGGAGTGGCCGCTCGTTGGCCACTTCAGAGAAACCAGCGGTGTTAATTGGAAGACTCTCTCCAAGTCTCAGCAGGCCAGCTGCGCGCCGGGACACCATGGCTCTGACTTAAGCCTCTGCCCTGCAGTCATGCTGTGACTCAGGGGCTGACCCAGAGCTCGGGATTATGGAGGCTTTGGAGAAGCAGCTGCACCTTCAAGCCAGTTTCCTTGGATGTATTTCCTGCCACCTCTCACAGACTCGAATTATAGAAAGAGAGAGAGACACGAACTGGGTTTCACTGCAGCAAACATCCACACAGGATCTGCTGTCACGGTTGCCTCCTGGGAAAGCTCATTTTGTAGACTGGAAATAATGAATAATTAGACCATTGCTAAATGTATGTTTTGTTTTCTGAACAAATTCAAAGCATGTGAAAGATAATGAAGATTTTCTTAAAATTAGGGCTATTTTAATCCTCCCTACTGTTTAGCCCTAATGGAATATTTATTCCAAAATTTCTGTCACTTAGGCTTCTCCAGAGATACAGATCAAGAGGATGTATTCATGAGTGTGTGTGTGTGTGTGTCTATGGCAGAGAGAGATCTTTTACAGGGATGGGGTTGTGTAATCATAGAAACCAAGAAGTTTGACTGTTTGACATCTGTAAGCGGGAGACCCCGGAAAGCTGGTGATGAAATTCTGTCCAAGTCTCAAGGTCCCAGAACCAGGAGCTCTGATGCTCAAGCGCTGGAGAAGATGGGTGTCCCAGCTCACACAGAGAACGCATTCACCCTTCCCTGCCTTTTTGTTCTGTTCGGAGCCTCAGCAGATAGGATGCCTGCCCACAGTGGTGAGGGCACATCTTTACTGTCTGTCCATTCAGATGCTTATCTCTCCGGTAAACAGCCTCACAGAAACGCCCAGAAATAACGGCTCACCAAGTACCTGAACAGCCCTTGTTTAGCCATCGCAAGCTCACCCCTTGCCCACTCGCCACCTACATGCATGCCTTTAAATCGTAATTCCCAGAGAAAGACAAAACAAGGTCACAATTCCAATGGGCATGACACTGCTGTCCTGTACACAACTGAAAATGCACTCATCCCTTCCCGGAAGAGAAGGTAACGTGCTTGAGTTGATGTTTACTCTCTCCTGATATCCTGTAACTGAAAATACTATGAGGTAAAATTGTCAATAATTAAACACTGAGAGAGAAGTTTTATGTTACATGTTAAGGGAATAAAAGGAAAGTAAAAGATATATATATGTATGTGGGGGTAGACACACACACACACACACACACACTCAAACATATTCTTAACAAAATAAGAAGGAAATACTCATTGACAATTACTGTTTTCATTTCTGTAACTGGTCACATCACAGCTGATATTTATAATGTCTTCTGCCCATTCTGTATTCCCGTTGCCTTCAGCCAGCACCTCAGCTGGTTGTGGTCTTTACCTGGTGATGTGATGCAAACCGTCACTCCTGAAGGGTCTGGGCCATTAGTGGTACTACCTGGGATGCGTCAGGGTAGTTTCCATTGACCCTCATCACAGGGCTTACTAAGAGAAGTCCCAAGGGATCTCCTGCATCCCATATTGTTCCTTACCTCCATACTAGAGCAGTGGTCTGTTTTCCCCAGGGTAGTCTGGGTCAGTCACCCAGCCAACACCATAAATCGCGCCTTTGCCTGTTGACTCAAAAGCCTGAGGAGCCCAGACCATGAGGCATCTTAACTTCCAGTTCAGTGGAATTACTGTTGTGCCTCCTGGTGGAATCATTTCTTTCCTCCGGGCCTAAAAACCCCTAGACCAGTAGAACATAAAAGTCATGAAAAAAAAAATGTTGCTAGTGGGTCACTAAGGGTAATGATGGTACCACTCCCCTCTGAACCTCTTGATTCCTGGACCGTATGGGAACACCAGCATACATGGGATGTTATTCAGAGCGTACCCAGCTTTTTGGAGAACATCGCCCCAGCCCTCAAGGTATTGCTACCTCTCTGACCCTGTAACTGAGTTTTCAAAAGGCCCCTCTACTGTTTTGTCAAACCAGGTGCTTCAGGGTAGTGGGGAACATGGTAAGAGCAGTGAGTTCCATGCACAGGCTCATTGCTGCACTTCTTTGGCTGGGAAGCAAGCTCCTGGATCAGAGGCAATGCTCTGTGGAATACCATGACAATGGATAAGGCCTTCTGTAAGTCAAGCTACAGATAGTAGCTTTGGCAGAACTTAAATTCTATAAGTTACTTACAGAGAAGCAAGTGGGAACCTTTTTTCCCAAGAAGTAGTTTCTTATGGAGATTGCTTTGACAATCATGAAGAAAATGCAACCTGTTAAGACCTTTCATTGGGAGATCTGGGCTGGTGCTCATGTGCTCTGGGCCCTGTGGAGTGCTGGAAAACACCTGGAGGAGCCACTGCTCTCAAACAGCCAGAGTGAGGTGTGTGCACCGAAGACCAGATCAGACCGACCCGCGGAGGCACCCGGCAGAGCTTACAGCAGGCCCCATCACGAAGGAAGGGCTATGGAGGATTTATTCAACACAAATCAGGAGCAGATGTCTCCATTTCAACCCTACACAACCATGGAGGACCACATGCTCCCTATGAGGGGTGAGATGAGGACTGAACTAGAAAAAACGGGCCGCACTGGGTAATGCTAAGAAATACAAAAACTCCAGATCCCACTGGGACTAGAGAATAGCAAATAGAAGGCAATCATCTTGGCTGTATTTCCGGGTGGAGTTAGTGCAAACGGCAGGATGAGGAAACAGTGGTGGGGCAGCTGGAAGAGGGTGCCCTCACCAACTTCTCCCTGCCTGGCTTGGACTTGCTTGTGCTAACAGGGCCAGCCCTCTCCCTCCCACCCACCCCCAACCCACTGGACTCGTTTGATCTACAAACAACACCACAGCTTCCTGGGACTTCCTCCTAGAAACCATGTGTTTCAGGTCTCCTCCTTCCTGTCCTCTCCCACTCCTGGGAAGGTTCCCCAAAGCCTTAAGATTGCAGTTTCTGCAGCCCCCTTATAATTGCATTTGTTCTTTAATTCCCAGTCTTTCAAAAGATCATGACCACTAATGAATAATTATACAGTAAGACCTCACTTAACATCAGTGATAGGTTCGGTTTTTGGAAACCACAGCTTTATGCAGAACAACAGATAATGAAACTGATTTTACCATAGACCAACTGATAAAAACAGCTTAATGTCTACCACATATTTCTGGTCACTGAAACATCACTAAACTTCTAAACAAAGACCAAAACACTTCTAAATAAAGACCAAACACTGCTAATATTAAACATTAATAAATACGAGCTATACATACATTTAAGAAAGATTGATAATAAAAGCAAGTAATGTGATGATTTACCCAGTTTTTCCAGTTCAGGGTCACAGATGACAGCAGCCTCCAGGGCAGCACAGGAGGCCGGGCGGAAGCCAGCCCCGGACTGGCCCCCATCTCATTGCAGGTGCTCTTACACTCACCCACACAGGGCCAATTCGGACACCCCAGTGACCCTAACATGCACAGGCTGGAGATATGGGAGGAAACACGCACACCCAGAGAAAACCCACGCAGACCTGCCAAGAAGGTGAAATCTCTGCACAGACAGCAGCCCCAGCCGGGGATAACAAGATGACGTTGAATGAAAGACATTGTTGGAGGACCTGCCGTATCGGCCTGTAGGCTGAAATTGGGTAGGATCCACAGTAATCAAACTCGTTCTAACAGCCCACGTTCAGAGACGCCAGACTGTCCAGGCTCCGTCAGGCTTACCTCCATCATCACGCCTCTCCATGAAGCTCCTGAGTGAATTAATACCATTATTCTTATCCCTGTTTTACAGAAGAGAAGTCATAGCCTGTAAGCACTAATTTCCTGGAGGCCACAGTTGAATCTGCACAGTGTTACATAATTGTTTTGGGGGTTGTGATGGTGGTGTTTCCTTGTTTATTTGGTTCCCACTCTGTCACCCAAGTGGGAGTGCATTAGTGTGATCGTAGCTCACTGCAGCCTCAAATTCCTGGGCTCAAGCAATCCTCCTGCCTCAGCCTCCCAAGTAGCTAGGACTGCAAGAACGCTCTACCATGCCTGGATAATTTTAAAAACTTTTTGTAGAGACAGACGGGTTCTCACTATGTAACCCAGGCTGGTCTCAAACTCCTGGGCTCAAGTGATCCTCCCACCTCGGCCTCCCAAAGTGCTGGGATTACAGATGTGAGTCATCATACCCATAGTTGTTTAAATTGATGCAAAAGATGGAGAAAAGTGTGTCTTGAATCTATTGAGTACAAACTGTGTACATAAACATTGGGGGGAGGGATCTGATTTTCTTCAGACATTTCAGAAATTGCATTACATTTATCCAAAAAGCTTCTAAAAATGAAAGACTACCAAAAAAAGCAATGTAATGTAAACCATGGTTATCTTGGGGACAAGTAATCCCCAGATAAGTGATTTCCAAATGTTTGTGTTTTTCTTACTTTCTAAATGAAAGATAAAGAAAATAAACTTTATTTTAAAAACCAAAATAATCCTAATAGAAAAATCCTGGTAGAACGTGGTTGTAGGAGGGTATCTGTAATAAGAGGAGTGGAAGAGGTGGGGTGTGGCTGTCTATCATTTCAGGACATGGAGAGGGAAATGGGGTCCCTGCCTCCCAAGGTGACAACATTCAACTTCCAGTCCATGGGAAAGACCCTGAAATACTAAGGCTGGAGCCCCAGCATCTCACATAGGTTATTTTGGGTGTTGGTGGGTTTTGCTGAGGTGAGTGTTTTCTGGTCAATAAAGCCAAGTTATTTTGGGCCACCATAATTGTGAGTTAGACAGGTGGTTTGTGTGTGAAACATTTAATTTGCTGGCTGAGTAGTCTGTTGACTTTGGATAAGGGTAGAAACAGTTCTATACAAGCTTCCCAAAATGATGGGCCCTGATGCTGATCTTATCACTGTTACAACAGATGCACATTGCCAAGGCAGGCTGGACTATGGGAGGGGAGCGCTAGGAAAAATCATGTTACTTTCATTGCTTTTGTGCTTACCACTCTACTGTATCTGAGTACCTTTTAGGTTTAGTAGTCCCTCCTTATTCGTGGGGGGATATATTTCAAGACCCTCCATAGATCCCTAAAACCTCAGCACTGAATATACATACATGTATATATACATCATGTTTTTTTTCTATGCATACACACCTGTGATGAAGTTTAATATCTACATCAGGCACAGTGAGCAACGATGACTAGTAATGAAATAGGACAGTTATAACAATATGCCAACATCCATCCTCTTGCACTTCGGGACCATTATTAAGTACAGTAAGGGCCCCTGGACACCAGCTCTGTGCCACTGAGAGAGTCCATCTGAGAACCAAGACCACTGCTAAGTGACTCACAGGCAGGTGAAGAGACGGTGTGGATGCTTTGGACAAAGGGAGGATTCCATCTGTGACGGGACAGGACAGAAGGGCACATTTCACCAGGCTCCTCAGAAGGACACATGATTTAAAACTGACCAAGTGTTTATTTCTGGAATTGTTCATCCCATATCTCCAGAGCTTGGTTTGACCACAGGTAACAAACTGCAAAACCTCCAACAAGGAGAGACTGCCATGATGGTTTTTGCTGTGTGTGTCGGGAGAGCATTGTATGCAACCGTAGTTATTAGTCATTCGCTTTTCTTCACTCACTTGTAATGGTATGTTAGCATTGTGCGATTTCTAAAATTACGCAGAAGAGAATTCATCTTGGAACAAGCCCCTATTAGAATATCTTTTCAATGTTAAAAGACATGTTTTATTCCTTTTAAATAATGACAGTTTAAATTAGTCATCTTCACAGTCTTTGCTATTTAATCTGGCCCTAACTTCAGGCAATTGATGCAAATAATTAATAAGGCAAAAGTAACCCAATTGGCCAGGAAACTGATGGCCTGAGGTTGCAGATGGAGGCACTGAAATAGAAATACCAGACAGGTGATCTCTGGAGCCTCAGGCTTCAATGCTGCCATTGACGTGGGCTCATTTCCCCTGGTGGCATTACAGGCACCTCTCACTAGCCTTTGGACAGTGCTTTTGACACCTGGGACTTGGAGGCTCTTGGCTCCGCCATTTTCTGCAGCATCTCGGGGTCCCCTTTGCTGGCTTTCAGGCTGTGCCACCCCTGTCCTGCTCAGCTCTCCTCCCCCTGCTCTTCCTTATGCCCCCCACTTCATCATCCAACCCTCATATTGTTTATTTGCTCTTTGTTTTGGGCATAGTTTACAAACATTTGGAATGTGTTGTATTTTTGAAAGTGATTTCCTCATTCTATCTTGCTGAAGCTATTCTATTACAGTTTCCACACGTAATTATTTCAGCTCTACTTCTGTCTGGAGGAAAATGTCACTTGTAACTTTGTTGAGGGCATTTTGGGACAAGTTCCCATAAAACAGGAGACATGTGAAGAGCACTGAAATGGGAAATGGAATCTGCTAATTTTAGAAAAAGGCAAATATTCCTGCCTTTTGAGAGCAGGCGCTGAATGTGAATTTTTAAAACGGGTTGTCCGTTATCTCTAGCGCCTGTTGCTGGAGACGCAGCTGTCTTTGAACCATGGCAGGGAAGAGGTTTCAGTAAGATGACGGCAGAAAGCTACATGGGGAGACAAAGCTTAAATATAGATGGTTCTCCGCTGCAGTCCAGCCAGGGAAGAAAGCTGGCTGGCCAGGAACCCTGGGGGAGGTACAAAGAAACCCTCCCACACGGGGCCCAGGCCAGCCGGCAGCAGCAGGACCCGGGAACATGCGCCCCTGGGCTCATCCCAGTCCCATTGAATCAGAAACTCATGGTATGGGGCTGGGGACGGGGTCTGGACAGTTTCTGTTTTAACAAGCCCTTCAGGGTACTCTGACATGGGCCAAGGGCAAGACCATCATCGTTCTCAGAGAACTTAGGATGTTTATGGCCAGCCAGGCAGCTAGGCCCAGCGCCTGTGATAATTTTAGCTGCCATTACTGAGCATTGACCCTGTGCCCTGCTAGCTCCTTCAGAAGTGCTGTCTTGTTTAATCTTCACCAAGTCCTTAGAGAGAGGAATTCAGCCTTGTGGATGAGGACATTAAGAGATGAGTTTCACGCAGCCCTTGAGGGGCTGAGCACCAAGCTGGAAGGACACATTATTAGTGCAACAGAAAAGAGTGGCAGCAGTGTGGGCATCATGAGTCTCGGGAGGATGCATGCTGGGGCCCCTGGAGACACCAACTTCATGGAGGAGGGAGGGCCTGAGCTGCCCTTGCCGGAAGATGAGGACTTTCAAGAGGAAAGAGGACATGTTCTGAGAACTCCAGCTAGAAATGCGTGCAGTAGCCAACCTTGGGGTCATATCTGCAAGTCCTCTTCTCTCTGAAGTTGCTCCCTTATCTCCTAAAAGGCACTCCCTCTCTCCCGGCTCCCCATCTGTCCCCTCAACTCTCCCGGCTCCTCCAGGGAAGAAAAGTTTGGATCCTGGATAGCAGACAACCTTCTCCTCTGAAACGAGGAAGCCTGCGGAAAGGAAACGGATGTTTTACATTAAAAGCAAGTTCCGTTGTCTTATATTTCCAGCCATATCGTGATTGATATGTCCCAAAATCCCCTCTGCTACCAAGTGTCTTGAAAGGCTGGGTTTTCTGTGATGGACATCATTGTAAATGCATAGCTGAGCTTTGTGTTACACAGAAAATGAGAAGGAAATCATATAACAGAAGCCTGAGGGAGAGCTGGGATGCCGGGGGCTTCTGAGGAGGCCAGGGCTTGTCTTAGTCATCTGGGGCCTCTCTTGGGGTTCTGAGCAGGCACAGGGCCCCTGGCCAAGTGGTAGAGGGGAACAGGGCCCTCAGCAGCTCCCAGTACAGGGAGATGCCTTGGAGAAAAAACATCAGAAAGTCACTCTTTCCAGGCCAGTTAGTCAGAAGAGAAAAAAAGTTACAATAGCTTCAGTTAACCTGAAACATGGCCATCTCCCAACAAGCCCAGTGCCCGTACGAGGAAGGCCCATGAAGAGTCTTGCGTCCTCAAGGAGCGTGCAGAGGCCTGGACAGCAAGACAGGAACCATGGGGCTAACCCAGTGGAAATATCACAAACTCTGTAGATTTTATAGATGGCAAAACTTAAGAAGCCATGAATAAGGAAATAAAAGAACAGAACTGGCCCAGAAAGAATTTTGTAATCTATGTGAAAAGAAAAAAATGAAAAGTTTCCTTTTTATGTGTTTTATTTGTTTTGTGAGACAGAGTCTCACTCTGTGGCCCAGGCTGGAGTGCAGTGGCACAATCCTGGCTCACTGCAACCTCTGCCTCCTGGGTTCAAGCGATTCTCCTGCCTCAGTCTCCCAGGTAGCTGGGATTACAGACATGGGCCACCATGCCCAGCTAATGTTTGTATTTTTAGTAGAGACGGGATTTTACCATGTTGGCCAGGCTGGTCTCGAACTCCTGACTTCAAGTGATCTACCCACCTTGGCCTCCCAAAGTGCTGGGATTACAGGTGTAAGCCACTGCGCCCAGCCCTTTCTATGTTGTAATTTTTCTTAAAAACACCTAATAAAATGTTGCATTGCAGAGGAACAGTGACAATTTTGTCTGTCACCACCAACATCCACTTTTAGGTACAAGGGAAGGAGGAGCAGAGACACGAAGATGAGATGCTAAGAGTGGCTGGGCCCGGCCGAGGGACCCTGTGCCCTGTGGGGCTCTCAGTAGACACCTCTGGGGTCAGGCAAGGCATAGGGACAGGCGCCTGGGATGACTGACCTCACAGGGTGGCGTTACAGCACAGCTGGCCATCTTCCCTGAGTCACAGAAAATGGCCTGTAATGTTGTCTGTTCTTCAGTATCAAAGAGGTGAGGCTCAGATATCTGGATTCTTAGCTTTTGTCAAAGAATGCTCTTTTCTGTTACTGCACGCTAAGTGTTGATTATATTGTCGAGAATTGATATTGCACAGTGTGCCAGCTTGAGGAGGCCTTCCTGCCTGGGTGAGATGCCCTGAACTCCAAGTGCCCTTTTGCACGGGCTCAGCCAGGGTCCCTGAGAGCAGCACAGGGCAGGGCACACAGCTTGCCCAGGAGATGCCATCTGCCTGTCAGGTGAGAAGATGGCCTGACTCCTTTCCTCTCTTATCCATAGAGGTCTATTTTATTTCTTATTTAAATCACAGTGAATTTCAAAGGGGATTGGAGGCAGGTTTTTGTGTTTCCTTATTCAAATTAGAAAAGTCTAGAAAAAGGAATAATTTTTTAAATTTAATTTAGTTTGATTTGTTCACTTTTTTATTATTATACTTTCAGTTCTGGGGTCCATGTGCAGAACGTGCAGGTTTGTTACCTGGGTATGCATGTGCTGTGCTGGTTTGCGGCACCCATCACCCTGTCATCTACATTAGGTATTTCTCCTAATGCTAGCCCTCCCCTAACCCCCCACTGCCCTAACCCTAACCCCCAGGAATAATGTTATTTTAAACGATTGGAAATAAAAATATATTAATGCTAGTTTTGAAACCCACATTTTCCTTAAGTGGTTAGAAGTAAACACCAGGAGAGCTCAGAAATGTATGTGCTGGGAAGAGGGAGGGAGGAGGAAATGCAGGTAAAGGCGGCCATAAAGACACAGCGCAGTCCCGCCTTCTCGGGAAACAAGGCCAAAGCGATCAGAGAGGATGCCATATCAAACAGCACTCATTTATTTCATAATTTGGTCATTTTTATATCAAATTTACATCCAGAGTGATGGATGAACAAGTGCATTATGGAAAGCTAAGTGAGAGTAGGCCACGTACTTTGTTCTCTAGACTTCTGATATTAAAAGGATCGAAGTTGGAAGAAAGCAGCAAAGGGAGGGATGCCAGCTTTCTTAGATTGCCCATCTCAGATGGCAGCTCCCTCACCTTTCCTTCATGCCAGACCCAAAGCGTAGTCAATTTGAGATTGAGTCCCTTGGCAACTTGGCAGGTCCCTGAACCTCAGTTTCTGAGGCACCGATTAAATAAAATTCAGATATTTTAATGGACCAGACAACCTGGAAACAGTTTCTATTTTGACAATGAAAACTAAGACACAAGCTTTGTTCTTGCCAACGGGCATCACCATCCACTGCCCTACACTTCCCTCAAAGGCGAGGCCCCAGAAATGTGTGAAAAAGGACTGAAAGTTTCTTCCTCAAGAAATGGTTTCAAGTATGTTGAGATTCCCAGAAAAATGGATCCAAGATTTGTTCCATAGAACATGGAAGTGAATCTTTTGGCTTAGAAGAGTCTAAATGCAGATATACTCAGTAAGATTCGTGTGGCACGTTGGTTAAAGAATCTTCATTTGACTCTTGCCCACCGTGTGGGTTTTTTGCGAGGTTTGAATCAACTTGCCCTTTTATTAAGCTGAGCAAAGTGTTTCTGCAGCACACAGCCTCGGGGATAGGTGACGTAATTTGTCAGTTGAGGCTTCTTTTATAATTTGTGAGTAGGAATAGTGATATCCACGCTGCAGAGGACATGTGGATTAAATAACCATTTGAGCACTGCAGAATGTCAAAGCCCAACTACCATTATGTGGTTTGCAAATATCAGTGTTGAGGTATACTATCTGATAGTAAATTAGCCACTAGTTTAATATTTTAGACTACTCTAGCCCATGACAGTGCTATAGAGAAGCAATCCTGTTTAACTATTTGCTTAAAAGAGAAAAAAGCACATTAAAATAAAATGAAACTTCAGTTTCAAGGTGGCTGGACTGATTTAAGCACCATCGGCCAAAGCCAGCATTGTGGCTGCAGAGAAGAACTGACCACCCTATCCAAACGGAACCCTTGCACCGGAACGCAAGCGTCCATCTCTGTCCCTGTGGAACTTCACATAGTCCAGTCCTGGTTCGTGCACCACACCCATGGCTGCTGTCGACAGGCTTTCTGATCCATAGTAAGGAAACAGCAATACTTACATGCGACAGAGAAATTCACTCCATACCGTTGCTGACACCCTCATCCAAACACAGGAAAGACAGCCAAGCATCAGTTCATTTTGTTTTTAATCATGAAAGAGGGCAACAAAGTGATCAGAGAAATTTACCCCAAAGGGAGTAGAGTTAAATTAGGAAAATAGAACAGAAATTTAAAATAAACACTTTAAGTCGCTGCCTCAGAAAAAAATCAGTAGATTATCACATACGTAAAACAAAGCAGGCTAATACTGAAAAATAAATAAGCATCAAAAACGTCTTGGAAATTGAATACATGTCTTTAGAAATGTGCACATGTAGACACAATCAGGTAAAATTTAGAAAACAGAGGAGCTGAGAAGACAATCTTAAAGAAGGATTTTCATCTGAATCTTCCTTTGGTTTAGCCACACTGACAGTCAAGGCTGAGAATTAAAAGGAGCCAGCCTTCAGACACAGAGAGCTTCAAGCTTTCTGAGTTAGATGATACTCAAGTGTGTAATTCAAATAATGGAAAATAAATCTAGGAAAGGGAAAGACATATATGTACCTGTCAAATTTAATAGAAAATAAAGGTTTCTATAGTAGAAATACCATAACGTTACATAGATATATGTGCAAAATCAAGAAAATTTAGACATTTATTAGACAGGACTCCTCAGTTCTCAGAAACCGAAATAATGTCTTGACCAGTTATGCATAATTGGGTTATGTGGGGATTTTTAGCTCACAAAACTGGCACTTCCAAGAGACCAATCTTTATTATGGGCCTGGTTGCGTTCAGGAGCTGAAACATTGCCTTAGAGCTGTGTTTCTCTCCAGTCCCTAGATAAGTTCTTCCCTGTGTTGGTTAAAATGGCAGACATTTATCCAAAATTTACACCAATCCATTTATTCCTGCCCAATTGGACCATCTTCCTGAATAGCTCTAGTGGAAAGGTACTAAGAAGAACTTTGATTGGTCCAGCATGGGACACATACTCATCTTTGGATTGTCCTAGGGGAAATAGTTGGGGGGATATCATACCCAGATATGATAAATTGGTTACCTGCAAAGAGGGAAGAATTCATTTAACACAAACAGGGTGAGAGCGGTGGGAAGAGAAAAACAGCAGCTGTTTCTCACATGTTTTTAAAAGAACAGCAATTGGAACGTAGCTCTGTCTTACAGTGGAGTAACTCGGAATTTTCTCTGCCCAGGGACTCTAATAGGCATGTTAGGATTCTAGGACTAGAATTATGATTCAGATGGCAAAGAAACAGGAGCTGGCTGATACCAGGAATGCATCACTTGACTCTTAAGAGAATCCTGGTCTAATTTTAGATCCATAGTTTTCAAACCTTCATTATCTTGCCTTCTTGAAAATATAAAAATGTGCATATAGCAGTGCTCTGGAGTCAGCTGGTGGTACTGTTACCTTCATCATGCAGTGTCATTGAGGAGCCCAGGTCTATGGGACTTTTGACAAGTGCATTAATATAAAATGTTATTAAAAGGTGCCCATCAAACTAAAGAGGCTGCAATTTTCACAAGGAATGAACAGGCAAACTTCACTTGGAGGAAATTGTGCCTATGGAATCAATTAGAGAAAAAGAGAGGAACAAAGTTTGGGGTGCCTACTCAGAGCAGAATGTACACAATGCTGGTGGCAAAGGGTATCTCAAAGGCAAATCCTAAACCCAGCCCCTCCAAACTGTGCCTCCTGAACATTTGCACACCTGCGTGTGCCCACAGAGACACTGGGGATTCTGACCACTCAACAGTGTTTGATGTTTCCTGTGTAGCCTGGCATTTCTCTGCTTTTTCCCATCTTTGACCCACCGGTCCTTCTCTACCTCCCAAAATCATGCTCGTGTTAAGATGCAGTTCAGTGGCCGCTTTCTTGTCTCCTCTAATTGGAATGAGCAACCCCATTTCTGTATTCCTGTGGTATTGTCCATGAGTCCCACCATCTCAACTCTTAAATTGACTGAAATGTATTTTGTATGTCGGCAGGCTTAAACTGGGGTACATGTTCTTCTTGGAGAACAGTTGGACTTTCCAAGGGAATCCACTTCCAATTGTTATACCTCCATATGCATTCTTTCTTGGAATTCAGGTGTCTGAGAACTCACCTGTGACCAGCATAATTCCTAGTCTTTTTCCCCAATGCCAATTTTATAGATGCCCTTCTGCTCCCTCATAAAAGACAGACATAACCCTCACGCATCAGGAATGTCACTGGTGTGCACTTTCCTGAGATAGGCAAACCTTATTCCCGATCCCAAACAAAAGAACAAATGGAAATATTGGTATAAGATTCAGCAGATAAATAACTCTAATGAGTTGGTGGCAAATGTTTTTGAATATCAGGTGATTTCCCAGTTTTTCTTTCCAGCCAAATTGACAAAGGATCTAATTGAGTTGTCAGATTTTAGATCATTAAGCATAATTTTTATGACAGATTAATTGATTTTTGACATATATTAGAGGAAAAGTTTTAAAAACCTAATGGAATGATGTAAACATAATAAAGTCCCTTAATTTACCTTTATATATGGCAAGCTTTGCCTAGTGCTTATATCTATAAGATGAAAAATACGACTTGAATTTATGTCAAACCCAGCCTCATGCTAGCAATAAGTAATCCAGTCATTTTTAAGGAATTAATTGAAAAAGCCTCACTCATTTATGAAATGCATTTCCAAATGATATTTCACCTTTTTGCTTACCAAATGCCAAAGTTTCTAGAACATTTATGTAGAAATGTTTGGGTTGGCTGTTTTCTATTAATTAGCACAAATATAGCTGTTTGAAGGAATTCAACACAACTGCCTTATGGTGAGGGGAAATAAAAATTACACTTTAACTTATATACATATATTATACAAAGACACTTGATCAATTTTAGAAAATCTCAAGTATAAAGTAAATTTAATTAGGATGAGATTCTGTTAGGCAGCGACACAGAAATGAAGTTCGAGGAAGAAAAGACATGCTCTAAAGCTCTGCCTGTTAAAGGAAGAGCTCGATTCCCCATTTTTACATAGAGGGGGCTGGGCATGAAAATACTACGATATTCATATTTATTTATTTATATTTTTTAAATGGCAAAACATTTATTTGTAAAGTATTAATATTTACAACACAATTAAAACATACCTCTGTTGCAACCAACAGAACTTGTGATGGAAAGTTCTAGATGTCAATGAAAAATGGAAAGAGGTGCGTGATGTTCAAAATTATTTGGAGGGATATGCACAAAAGAATTTATTTATTTATTCATTCATTCATTCATTCATTTTTGAGATGGAGTTGTGCTCTGTGGCCCAGGCTGGAGTGCAGTGGTGCGATCTCAGCTCACTGCAGCCTCCACCTCCCAGGTTCAAGGGATTCTCTGCCTCAGCCTCACAAGTAGCTGGGATTACAGGTGTGCACCACCACACCTGGCTAATTTTTATATTTTTAGTAGAGATGGGGTTTCGCCATGTTGGCCAGGCTGATCGCGAGCTCCTCACCTCAAATGATCCACCCGCCTAGGCCTCCCAAAGTGCTGGGATCATAGGCATGAGCCACCGCACCTGCCCCCCAAAAATTGTTGAAATGCTTTATGTCAGTTTGTATCGCTAGATTAGAAGCACTTTACCTTATTTTTCCCTTTCTTCCAAGCGCCTAGAATGTAGAGAACAAAGCACAGGTTGAGATGTGCAGCATTGCTTGTTGGTTGTGAGTGGCCTGTGGGATAGTGGGGTAGCTTTTCTTTCTTCAGAACATTTTCTCTGGGCCATATAAATTTGGTCAAACTGGCTCTTGAGAAATCTTCTTTCTTAATGAACCATAAAACAGCAATATCATAGGACATGAGATCTTTAATTTGCACTTAATAAAACAATAAAAATTAATTCATTCCAAAATTATTTGGAAGATATTTATATTTAGTGATGAAATTTTCTTTGCTGACTCTGTAAAACAAAAACTAGTACCAAGCTGAGAATACTTGTGTTCAGCGTGAGGAACTAGTAGCCCTAAGTTAGCATTTTCTTCTTTACACTTGAGCTGGAGAATTTACCAAAGCTCATTCAGAGATATGTAATGGTATCTGAACTGTGGGATTATATAACGCAGGCAGAGGACAATAGAAGGGTTAATATTCCTTGCTTAGGCTCTGTGGCTATTCATTTAGAAGAGAATTAAATCATGAATTTATATTAGGCTTCTGCTAAAGACAAAGTAAGTGTGTTTTTTCACATTTGCAAAAAATCCTACAGTAATATAACTTTTCACTTCAAAAAGGTTGTTCATGACTTAAGAGAATAGCAAAGTTCTTCCTCTTCCGGGGACGTTGTGTGCAGGCACTCAGAATGGTCCAGCGTTTGACATACCGACGTAGGCTTTCCTACAATACCACCTCTAACAAAACTAGGCTGTTCCCGACCCCTGGTAATAGAATTGTTTACCTTTATACCAAGAAGGTTGGGAAAGCACCAAAATCAGCATGTGGCGTGTGCCCAGGCAGGCTTCGAGGGGCTCGTGCTGTAAGACCTAAAGTTCTTATGAGATTGTCCAAAACAAACAAACATGACAGCAGGGCCTATGGTGGCTCTGTGTGTGCTAAATGTGTTCGTGACACGATCAAGCGTGCTTTCCTTATCAAGGGGCAGAAAATCGTTGAGAAAGTGTTGAAGGCGCAAGCACAGAGTCAGAAAGCTAAATAAAAAATGAAACTTTTTTGAGGAATAAAAATGAAAAGACTTGCTGAAAAAAATAAAAAAGAATAGCAAAGTTGCCAGTGCATTAATTAATTCAAAAATAATGACTTACCCTGTCAGGGAAGACAGAACATAGCAGAAAGGACAAAGCCAATCTTGTATTCCTTTTAAAGATTCCTAATTAGTCACTGGTCAGTGTAAAAATGAGTGTTTACATCCTGTATTTTGATTCTGCGTTTCAAAGACTGATAACAGTTCTACTCTAGAAGGGATTTTAGAGCCCGTCAGAACCAATTGCTTATTTTACAGAAAGGGGAAAGGAGATTGTTCACAGAGTTCAATTCCAGCTCTTAATTCAGTCCTCCTCCTGCTGCCCCTGGGTTTCAGGCTGGAAGCCCCTCAGGGGCTGGAGAGTGGGTGGGAAATGGGACAGACACAGGATCTGGAGGACAGGACCTGTGCCCCCAACCTCGGTACAGCCCAAGCAGCTTCACGTTTTCCTTTTATGTTCTGAGTTTCCGTTTAGAACTGATGAAGGAAAAGAGTCTCCTGCACCATTTATCTCATTCAGAAATTGTCAAAACATGTTACAGTTCATGGGGTTAATCATCGGAACCAGCTGAAGGAAAAAAAGAGACGTTGGGGTGGAGCGGGGGCAGGATGAGTGAGATGGGCGTGTCTGATTGCAAACAAAAGATGCCCAGGGCAGAGTAGACCTCAGAAAGGAGTGATCAGAAATCTCCTGAAACCCATCAACCCAGGTTGGGGCTTCATAGGAATATCTGCCCTTCTCTTCAGATCTGTGCTCTCTCTGACAGCTCACCAGGAAGCTTCTCCTGAAGGTTCCCCACACATCCTCCATCACCCTCCTCAGTGCCTTTACAGGTGCTCCCTCTTGGCCACCTGCCCCACCCTATACTCCTAGCAGGTGCCAGCATCACTCTGGGGAGGCCTGCTCCGTCTTTCCTGGCCAGGTCCCACCCCTTTTGCAGAAGGCCTTGCACTCATGTTCCCTCTTCTCCCAGCATTTAGACAGGTGCATTTTCAATTCCTGTGTGACTCCTCTCCCTAGATGCAGATAAACCTCCTGAGAGCAGAGCCCCCTACCTGCTTCTGCACCAATGGCATGAATGGTGTTGCAGGGCTGTGGCCAGGCCACATGGGCCATGGAAAGATTATCCATATGGAGAGTGGCAGGGCTGGCCTGGGCAAAAGGGGAGCTCTGGTAATAGCACTCACATTAGTCATTTTGTAAATGGTTTAACATGTGTGTGCACCAAATATGTGACTTCTCACTCCATGTTGATTTAAGGCTTTGCAGGTGGCTTAATTTAGATGACAGGCTTTCAATCTTTTTTTTTTTCTTGCCTCAAAATTTCTGAGGAATATATATATATATATACAAGCATTCCTGATCTTATCACTGGCTTAGAGAAGGGGTGGAGGCAGAGTTGGAGTCCCTCGGCCCCACAATGTGTTCTGTGCCTCTAGAGGGTGTGTGCCAGGTGCTCCGAGGGCCCCCTCCAAGGGTCTGGAAGCAGAGGGCTGGAGAGGGCACATTTGTTAAGGTCACTTCACACTTGAATGATCATTCCTGGAGTGGGAAGAGGGTAGGCCAGGCTAAACCAGCATTTGTGTGGCCCTACTGTGTGCCACCACTTCGCTCAGTCCATCCTGTCACACTGTGCTTATGGGAGCACACCGAGAGTTGGTGTAACCATACAGTGTTGTCATTCTTTGTGTATGTGTCTGTCCCTTCAGAAGCTGTGAGTGCCAGAGAGCCCACATGCTTGGATTGGAAAACTGTGGCCCCAGGCCTAGTCACAGGGCCCTTCGCATCCAGGCACGCACTTAGCAGCAGGGACCTTCTGGGCAGCAGCAGTACCGGGGTGTGAACCCAGGCAGCAGCAGGGACCTTGTGGGCAGCAGCATTACCTTCCTCTGCCAGGGTGTGAACCCAGGTCTCTGTGACCTGAGAGCTTTGCTCTTGTCATACTTTTTGTGTACAACAGAGACAGAAAAAAAGTGCTGGCTTTATTGTTCAGTGATGGCAGCAAAAGGGAAGGTAAGAGAGGAGCGATGGGAACAGGGAGCCACTGCAATGTTTCTTCTCAGTATTTGTCCTTGAATTAAGAGTCTGGCCACAAAAGCTGGGGAGAGAACTGCAAGACAGAGGTTGCGGCAGACCAGCATCACTGCATTCAGCATATCCCCTTGTGCGTTTGTGCTGCTTTAAACTGTTCCTCTTTTTCGTTCTGTTCTTTACCTGGGAGCTTTTTTGTGAAAATGTATATTCTCTTAAACCTTGGTTCTTTCATTTGTTTAATTGTTTGGAATCTCAAACCAACACCTGATGGATTTTCTTTTGGTGGTGCTGGCGATGATTTGTGAGTCCCCTGTCCAGTCAAAACGTCGGTGATGTTGAGTGCAATTGTGACGTCACTTCACTCTCAGTGCGTGATTTTGTGGAGCGAGCACTCCCAGAGGAGTTTTAAATCACTCTGGGCATCCAGTGACTATTTAGGAGAAAAATGACTTTAAAACAAAATACACTGGGACCTCAACAAAACAGTCCTTGTTTCCTGGACTGTCCTGAATAGTGCTGAGATCATATGTCCTGAAGTGTCTGAAGTTTAAAATCTATTTCTATTAAAAAACAATTACAACTCTAGTATACATCTGGGCTAGAGTTATGTGCTTTTGTCCTTCAAATTTCATCTGTATGCACAGAGCCTTTGATGATTTTAGAGAATCTCAAAGCTCAGTAAGAGAAGAATAATGACCTCCCCCTACTTATACTTAAGGTATTGCTATGTACAAATAGCGAGGTAGTTGTGCACAATGGCCGTGGTGCTACCCATCGTTAGTGTTAATGCTTGACAGAACCTGGCGTGGAGAGCAAGTTGCAGCTCTGTGCATCTCACCCAACTGCTACAGCAAATCACATTTAGTGCTTAGGAGCCAGGTCACCTCAACCACAGAAACTGGCCTCACATGTATAAAATGAAAGGAGAGCCAAAAGCTGGGGAGTAGGGCCAAGAGTCTTCTGGGCCAGATTTCAAATGTGAAATATGCGTCAGATGTTTCCAAACTGATATTATTTATGTCTGCTTATTTATATTTCCCAAAACTTTAATTGTTCTTAATGTTTTCCTAAAGATCTCATGTTACACAAGTTCCGTTAAACAAAAGATCAGACTAGAAACAATTGCATTCACCATGACTTTGGTTTGAAGTTTTAAATGTGCTTGTCCATAGCCATAGAGAAGAGACCAATGTAAAAGCCTAATTAATCAAATTCTGATTCTTGAGGGAAGATTTTGCTCTCAATCTTACACAAATGATTCCCTCTCAATTAAAATGTGTCAGGAGTATTCAGCAGTATTTAAATGGGGGTCTTCCTTTATTTTGAGCACCCCAAATCCCAAATGTCAGAGGGGGCCAACAGATTGATGTCACACTTGTTAGGCAATGTGGACGCTGGGGTGGATTGGGCTGACCTGTCCTTGCCATGTCTTGTCCAGTAAGCCTGCCCCTGGGGTCTGGCGGCCACTGCAGCCCGGATGTAGCCCCGCAGGTGCTATCAGAGGCAGAGGAGACCGTGTCGGTTGGCAGCTGTTTCGCATCAGAGGACACGACCGAGGACTCAGGAGTGATGAGCTCCCCCTCAGACATCGTCTCTCTAGACTCGCAGCAGGACAGCATGAAATCCAAAGACAAGTGGGCCACAGACCAGGAGGACTGCAGTGACCAGGACCTCGCTGGAACCCCGGACCTGGGTCCCCAGAAGAGCCCCTTGTGGGAGAAAAATGGCTCTGAGAACGCACATCTGAGGTGAGTCATGGGAAGGACGGGTGGGTATGGAAGTCACAGCCAAATCTGTGTCTCTAAGGAGGGTCTTTGGTCACGGATCCAACACGTGCTATCGCAGCCTGCTCTGCACCAGGGGTTCCCATCCTTATTCATGGCTGCCGCTCTCAGTCCTGTCTCTGTGCATCTGTGCATCTGCAGTAACAACTTACACAGACTGTGCAAGAGCTCCGTGTGTCTGTGCGTCTGCAGTAACAACTTACACAGACTGTGCAAGAGCTCCGTGCGTCTGTGCGTCTGCCGTAACAACTTACACAGACTGTGCAAGAGCTCCGTGCGTCTGTGCGTCTGCAGTGACTTACACAGACTGTGCAAGAGCTCCGTGCATCTGTGCGTCTGCAGTGACTTACACAGACTGTGCAAGAGCTCCGTGCGTCTGTGCATCTGCAGTAACAACTTACACAGACTGTGCAAGAGCTCCGCGCGTCTGTGCATCTGCAGTAACAACTTACACAGACTGTGCAAGAGCTCCGTGCGTCTGTGCGTCTGCAGTGACTTACACAGACTGTGCAAGAGCTCCGTGCATCTGTGCGTCTGCAGTGACTTACACAGACTGTGCAAGAGCTCCGTGCATCTGTGCATCTGCAGTGACTTACACAGACTGTGCAAGAGCTCCGTGCGTCTGTGCATCTGCAGTAACAACTTACACAGACTGTGCAAGAGCTCCGTGCGTCTGTGCGTCTGCAGTGACTTACACAGACTGTGCAAGAGCTCCGTGCGTCTGTGCGTCTGCAGTGACTTACACGGACTGTGCAAGAGCTCCGTGCGTCTGTGCATCTGCAGTGACTTACACAGACTGTGCAAGAGCTCCGTGCGTCTGTGCGTCTGCAGTGACTTACACAGACTGTGCAAGAGCTCCGTGCGTCTGTGCGTCTGCAGTGACTTACACAGACTGCGCAAGAGCTCCGCGCGTCTGTGCGTCTGCAGTGACAACTTACACAGACTGTGCAACAGCTCCGTGCGTCTGTGCATCTGCAGTGACTTACACAGACTGTGCAAGAGCTCCGTGCATCTGTGCGTCTGCAGTGACTTACACAGACTGTGCAAGAGCTCCGTGCGTCTGTGCATCTGCAGTAACAACTTACACAGACTGTGCAAGAGCTCCGCGCGTCTGTGCATCTGCAGTAACAACTTACACAGACTGTGCAAGAGCTCCGTGTGTCTGTGCATCTGCAGTAACAA